AAAGTCTATTAATAGTAATGAATTGAAAAGCGATTCAAATGACAGTCAAAATGATAGCCGTTTGCCGACATGTTTGTGGTCACCGGTGCCGAAGGAACGGCTGTTTGGCTGAGTTCGACACGTGTAGGGCACTCACGCGTCACAGGAGGTGCCAACACCGGACACCTGTCATAAAGACATCGGACGGGCGATTGAAATGCGATTATATCGGTTGCAGTAAGAGTTTCACCACACTAGTGGTACTAACGAGACACAAATACACCCAATGGGACAGAGCCTACCGGTGCGATGTGGACGGGTGTGCAGCCAAATACAAGTCACCCGAATATCTACAAACACATAAAAGGCTAAAACATAGCACTAAATACCGGTGCGATTGGGAGGGATGTTGCTACAAGACTGGCGATAAACGTCTCATTATTAAATACCAATTGATTGTACACTCAGGGGAACGACAGTTCAAGTGTCCGGTCGGGGAATGCCTGCAAACGTTCAAAACAAAGTACGATATGATTCACCACCAGTTGAGACAACATCCCGACTCTGTGCCGGACGTGCCGTGGATTCAGTGCACACACACTGACTGCCAGTTTAGGACCAAATCGGACTACGCTTTGAAGGCACACGTGAGACAACACCAAACACTACCGGTGCGATCGGTGCGGCCAAGGGTTCACACAATTAATCTCATCTCAAAAACCATGAGCCATCACATAATGAGTCGTTGAGATACCGGTGCGAATGGCCCGGTTGTGAGCAACGGTTCACTAGTAAACAGGGTATGAATAAACATAAGTACCGGTGCTCGTGGCCGGGCTGCGCAAAGGAATTTAGAGAGAATAATAGGCTTAAAGATCATTTAGTCCTACATAAAGACCCGGATAAATACCGGTGCCATTGGCCGGGCTGTTACCGACAGTTGTGTAGTAAAGGGGTTCAAAAGACACATATGTGTGAACACATGGGTAGTCGTAGGTATCGGTGCCATTGGCCCGGATGTGAGTATAATACTCAACACAAAGTGAGTCTCAATAATCACATGAATAGAAGTCATAAGCAGTGATACGAGACTATCGGTGCTCTTATTAAGCGGACTCTCATTAATTTAGTTTTAATATAATTACTAATATATAATTTGATTAACGAGTTTAAAGTAAAATTTAAATTTGTATTGAATTTAAAGGGAAATTGTGATTATGTTTTGATTAAATAAAATGTTTTGCAAATTAAAAAAGTTTTTACTATAATTTTGTAGGCGTTTTATATGTAAATGAATTGACTTTTGATTTGTCTTTTCAATAATTTCTAATACTTTCTCCCATTTATCTGATATAATAATAAGTTATTGAATAAACAAACATCAAATGAAACCAAATTCAGATTAAAATTCCCTCCAAAATACAGACCAAAAATCTAAAACTTTAACAAACTGTAGGTTTGAGCTTAACTATACGCATACATAGCATACACAGTGCTGTTTCTATAGTAAAAGCCTATGGACTGTAAGTTTGTACTAAAACTATATGAAATACTCAGTGCAGTGTCTATAGCATTGAGTTTCACTTATTTCAAATTATTTCAACTAGTGATGTACATACTTAATTCATTTTTAGGGTTAAACACAAATTTTTTTACAACTATTCAACACTAGTTATTTATACCTTTATAAGTTTTAGTCATTACAAATATAACAGGTGAAAAATATTAAAAGTTTGTTAATCATAAAATGAATTAAGTATGTACATCACTAGTTGAAATAATTTGAAATAAGTGAAACTCAATGCTATAGACACTGCACTGAGTATTTCATATAGTTTTAGTACAAACTTACAGTCCATAGNATTTTATACAAATGAATGTAGTTTTAAAGGTGTGCTTTAAATGTAATAATCATTTTATGATTATAAACATTAAATCTAAAAATTGTTTGAACATTAATGTATTAGTAATTTTAAATGTTTTAGTATGACATAAATAACTAAGGCTCTTAAAAATTTATAAGTTTAATCAAGTATAGATGATTAGACTATTAGTTTATCTTCCCTATTTTTTGGTGATTTTAACTTGAAACTCAATGGTCTATAGTATTAGTTTTAAATTCCCAAATTAGAGAAAAATTATATTATTGAGTGCATGGCCTAACGGTTAAAATGTCTGACATGTAATCAGAAGGTCCCGGGTTCAAGTCCCGGGCGCGAACTTTTAATGCAATTTGTCTTTTCAATAATTTCAAATATTTTATAACCATTTATCATTAACATGTCAAATCTAAAATAGTTTCTCACGGTACAATCATGGACATACCATAAAAGTAATTTACAAACTCATGTAGATCACCTGCATATTAAATATGAACTACGATACAAACTATAGACATTAAATTTCCAGCATCTGAGTAACGTTGAATAATAAATCGAATCATTAACATGTCAAATATAAAATAGTTTCTCACGGTACAATCATGGACATACCATAAAAGTAATTTACAAACTGATGTAGGTCACCTGCATATTAAATATGAACTACGATAAACACTATATCCATTATATTTCAAAAATCTATGTGAAGTAGAAAACTAAATCGAATCATTAACATGTCAAATATAAAAAGTTTCTCACGTTACAATCATGGACATACCATAAAAGTAATTTACAAACTCATGTAGGTCACCTGCATATTAAATTTGAACTACGATAAACGCTATATCCATTATATTTCAAAAATCTATATAACGTTGAATAATAAATCGAATCATTAACATGTCAAATCTAAAATAGTTTCTCACGGTACAATCATAAACGTACGGCCCGTCCACTCAACCATATAGCGAGCCCTTTGATGTCGCGCCCATTCCGTGGGATGGGTGGGCGCCTCGCGCTCACCAATGGTTATGTAGTCGGGCGCCAGTATAAGCGCGTGCAGGCCCTCCGACAGGGCCCGGGCCTCGTAGGCGGCCGTCGGATGCGATTGTTAATGGCCTGCCCGCGAGCCATTGACTGACGTATGCGTGCGGGGGTGTCCAGGTTGACGGGAACGGTAGACATGTGTTCGTATAGGTCGAGAAATTGGTGGTATTCCCAGGCCTCCCTGTCCATAGCCGCCAGACTGGTGTCCACTCCTGTAGCTCCCGTTCCACCTCTTCCGGGTTAGCCGTTGAGGCACCGATTCGGACGGGTGGTTGGCCTGCGAGTGGAAAGGCATGTCTCGTGTGTGTTGTGTTTTGGGTTCTAGTTTTGATACCATTGTTGAGTTTTTGGACAAATTAAAAAAAGTTTTGGAAATTTTAAATTTAAAAAATATTATAATTATTGCTGTATTTTAAAATTCAATGGCCGTGTGTTATGTTTGAAAGGGTTAGGTATGTTTGAGTATTAAAATGTTAGGTTATACGATGCTAACATACAATAAAATCTATTTAATAGACATTAATTAGCGAGTAATACTAAATAAATAGTTATCAAACACCTTACATAACACATTACATAGTAATCACATTAAAAAACATAGCAAGAACTGGACACTAATTTTCACAACAGATTCAAACTTTAATTCTTGAAATACTTTTCCCTTTCTCATACCCTAACCTACCCGTCCTATTGCCCCTCATTCAAGCCCACCAAATATATCTGTATACGAGTACTCATAATACTCATAATTGTGTTTTTAGGCAATAATTAAGTTTTAAAACTTTTAATAATTTATAAAAATAATTGATTCATAAAATCCTATTTGAATTAGTGTTACGATAATCTAATACCGGTGCTAATGGATAGGAATGTAGTGGTATTTAATGTGTCTGGATCATAACTCTAAGAACATGTATTTGAAAATATATTTGTTTATTTGTAGTGAACATAACAATCGATTTGAATTTTGGTTAACAATTATTGACTAAAGATACCGGTGCCCAAATGCTCATAAAGCTGATGTATGTTTTTAATAGGAACTCAAATGTCATAATACCTTAAATACCAACTTTACATTTACTCGTATACCTAGATAAACTTAACAACAATCAATGCAAACAAATATTTTATACAACTCTTATACCAGTAACTAATCTCCCGGTGCGCCCACACCTACTAACCCCCAGGTCTACCCAACTCATTGGCATTCATTGATAAATGATTGGTTACAATAGGGCTAATCAGTTCGTATTGACTCGCATACAGGCCTAACACTTCGCACCGGAGGGCCAGTAGTTTGTGCTCCCGTTCCACCCATTCAGCCATACGCCGGGCCCGCTCTGGCAGCGACCTGTCGGTCGGATCAGTGGACTCAGACACGGGTTCCTCTGCGTGGGACAGGTGGTCGGCCACATCCGGTTCCTCTGTAACATTAGGCTGTCCAACATATCCCTGGCCTCGTAGGCCGACCGCCTGATGCGGTGTCAAATGGATAGACCGCGCGATACAAGCGTTTGTGTGAGGGAAGGCGTCTAATGGGCGACGGGAACGGTAGTTAGGGTTCGGTATTGGGCGAGAAATTGTTGGTATTGTGCGGACTCCCCCTCCATAGTCGTGAGACTGGTGTCGATCCTATTGAGATACTCCCGGAGCCTACGTTCGACCTGTCTGTCGGCGATTGTCTGTCGTTGAGGTGTAGGTGCAAAAGGGTCGTTGGGTTTCGACGGGAATGACATGTCGTGTACTGTACTTCCGGTATTAGTATAATGTGGTTACAACTGATTGGCGTATGACTCGGTTTTAAAGGTTTCGTGTATTTTAATGCAATAATCAAATTGTTTTAATTTTTAAAAGTTTGATTTTATTGCTAAAACTTTTTTAACTTTTAAATTATTAGAAAATATTTATTTCATTTCACCAAATTTTGAAAAACAATCTTTATTGATTTTGCTTGTTATCAAAAATATAACTATTGTTTAGAAATTATATAATTTATTCATTCATTGAATCCGTTTCCATATTCTGATGGCTTGATTACGAGGTCTCACTTCAGCCAAGGAAACCAAAAAATTCATATACATATATTGTGGTTGGTTATATGATCCTGAAAATAAATCGGTACTAAAAACACCAGGAGTAATATGGGTCCAATGTGTTGTTTCATTGATTGCATTTGTGTGAACATCAACCGTAATTAACCTAGGTGAATCGTCATTTTGAACATTTCCATTAAACTTCTCACTAGTCCCACCCTCGGCTCTGAAAAATAATCCGGCATAAGATGGGGTAACATTGCTCCAGTACAACTTAGGCCACAAAACCGTAGGCTCAGGTTGGTTTGGTAGCTGTACGTATATGAAACCTATGGGTACAGTATGTTGCCTTAAATCTATTATAGATTGCTGTATGTGCTCGAGTGACCATTGTTGACCGTTTTGACAAACTACTTGATTTTTCTTGGAGCAAGGTTCGTCCACCCATTTACCAGTATTAGGAGCTTCCGGTTCAATAGCCATACAATTTTCGGATTCATTGGACGGCCTTCCAGTTTCCCAATTAGTGTAGTCATCCTTAGACCCATCTACCCAGGTTACTTTCTTGTTGCTTACTTTAGCCCCAATCCACACCTGGTCTACGATCTTATGTTTCGTGAATAATAGGTCTGATAGGAAGTCCTGTTCCTGTTGTGAGTGTATGGTTAGTGGTGTTATCCCTTCCCCCTGTTTTTGGCATAATTCCAGTGCATTTTCGTAAGTTTGTAATGTATCAGGTATGATTTGAATACATTTCTCATCAATGTACTGTTCCCATCCAACAGCGCAATTTGTTTCACCATGCACAAAGTTTGCTAAAAAATAATAAAAATTTAATTGGAAATAAAGTATATATTTAAAATTTTATAATAAATAAGTTTATATTAAACTATATGTTTAAAACACAAGCTAATACATACAGCCAATAAACAACAAAAGTATATAACGCATCATAATTATAAAATATATATTTTATGAAATATATAATTTTTTAAAAACAATTCTTGTTCTTTAAATTGAATTAATGAATTGTTGTTGCTGTTATTTATACAAATATTTAATCAAATATACAGGTATTTGAAATGATTGATGAATCTATTATAATCTATTTTCCCACAATTGGATCAAATAATACTTGATGATTGTTTGCCGTGTTATAAATGAAATATTGAATGCAAATCATGATAATAAGATACTTGAAATATATTTTGCATAATACTTTTTGTCAAATGTTAATTGATAAAAATATAGATTAACTAAATCTTAAACCTTTTATTTGATTTATAATTTTCTCACGATTTTCAAAATATGGTTAATATTTCCATAACAAAGTATTATGTAATAATAATGAATCATAATTTATTATATTTAATTTTATAGTAAAGTGATACATTCAATCACTATAATATACATAATATAATATACATAAATATATATTTTATTTAATTCGTTTCCATATTCTGATGGCTTGATTACGAGGTCTTACTTCAGCCGCAGATACCAAAAAATTATGAAAAAAATGTTGAGATCCAGAGTAGTCTCCAGAGTAGACGTCAGTACTATATGTACCAGGTGTAATGAATGTCCAATGTGAGGTTTCATTTATTGCATTTTCGTGCGTATCTACCGACACTAATCTAGGTGAATCTGCCTCTTGAATCTTGTCATTAAACTTCGTACTATTCCCACCCTCTGCTCTAAAAAACAAACCCGCGTATGATGGTGTAATATTGTCCCAGTCCATTTTAGGCCACAATACTTTTGGCTCAGGTTGGTTTGGTAATTGTACGTGTATGTAGCCAATGGGTATAATATTTTCCTGATAATCTCGCATATCAACTATTACTTGCTGAATGTGTTGGAGTGACCAATCTTGGCCACTTTGACAAATTACTTTGTTTTGTTTTGTGCATGGTTCATTTCGCCATTTACCAGTATTCGGTAGTGCGGGCTCCATTTGTATACAAGTGTCTGTACCATTTGAAGGTTCACCAGTTTCCCAATTAGTGTAGTCATCCTTGGACCCATCTACCCAGGTCACTTTCTTGTTGCTTACTTTAGCCCCAATCCACACGTTGTCAACGATTTTATGTTTTGTGAATAATAGGTCTGATAGAAAGTCCTGTTCCTGTTGTGAGTGTATGGTCAGTAATGTAGCGTCTTTTCCCATTTCATTACATAGACCAAGGGCACTCTGGAAATCAACAAGTTTTTCAATTATAAAAAAGCATTTTCTATCTAAATAGGGTTCCCATTCAACGCCACAATATGATTGACCATGCACGAAATTAGCTAATAATTTAGATAACTTGTTAATATAGTATTTATAATTTTATGTTTTACTTACAACAAATAGCCAGAACATACAAACACAATTTACTAATGAAATAATTCATATTTTATAAGTAGTTTGAAATTAATTTCAATCTTAAAATATATTATTTATTTATAATTCTGTATTTTATTATATGTTTGCTCGTATTTATACAAAAATTATCGTTCAAATACTTCTAGCTGACATAATTGATTGATGTTTAATCAATGTTAACTGGATTATACGTTTTACTATCATCAGATCTTAAGTTAGTATTATAATGAAATTTATCTCGTTCATGAATGAGCTTGATTCCTGATCAAACAAAAAATTTGACTTATTTGATAAATAATTTTCTCACAAATGCCAAAATACTGTCAAATAAGTTAATCAAGTAATAAGGCTTATTTATAAATGTAAATAAAATAATTGTAATCAATAACACCCGGATATATACACTAACTTTGATTTCATACTAATTTATTATTTTAAATAAAAATTAAAAATTGGCAAATATATGATCACATAATAGCATGGCATATTTTGTAAATTAATACTTTAAATATATAAAAATTTAAGCAAAGTGCAAATTACAATAGCTGACAAACATATCGTAACTGGCTGCCAATAATAACACCTTTACTAGTATTTATACTTTATTAAAATAAATGATTGACAATTAACTGATTACATAATAGAAAGCATACTGTTTGACATTTAATAAATCTCAACATATGATCGTCAACTTTCTAAAACGCTGTAAGTCTTAATAAATTCAAACTGTAATTATAACATAACCATTGTATTTATAGTATCTAATATTGTTTATTAATTTAACAAATGCAATGATTATGTTATAATTACAGTTTGAATTTATTAAGACTTACAGCGTTTTAGAAAGTTGACGATCATATAAGTTATTAGATAAAATTCAATAAAAATTGCTATAAAAATATTCAGTAATTAGAATATAACATAAAATAAACATTTCGAGTAAACTATTTGTATTTATTTATTCATTCATTGAATTCGTATCCATATTCTGATGGCTTGATTACGAGGTCTCACTTCAGCCGCGGAAACCAAAAAATTGTGATATAGCGGAAGTTTTCCACCCCCATTACTACCTGACCACAGATCATTACTATAAACCCCGGGTGTAATTGTATAAGTATGTGAATTCTCATTAATGTTTCTTTCATGCACTTTGACGCCAACTAATCTTGGTGAATCTCCATCTTGAATATTTGCATTAAAAGTATTACTACCCCCGCCTTCAGCTCTAAAAAATAACCCTGCATACAATGGAGTAATATTTTCCCAGTTCATTGTTGGCCACAATGATTTTGGTTCAGGTTGGTTCGGTAATTGTACGTGTATATAACCAATTGGAACAATATCATTTGTTTTCACTTCTAATAAATTTATTTCATTATTATGCTTGCTCAATTCCAGCCAGTGGGCTGGGACAACCTCTGATTCTAGCACCATAACTTTCTGTTGCATTTGATGAAATGTCCAAGTATCAGGAGTTGTGTCATTACCTGGATCGTTTATTCCTTGATAATTTTCAATAAACACCTTACCTTTTTTAAACCATGAAATTTTTGGTTTATCCAACAAATCGGCATAGACAATGTTTTTACTTTCATCTAAGATACCGTAATCGACAGCTGCAAATACGGCATTGGTGCCATAATTTTCCTTGTTCATAAGCATATCCATGGAACATGTTCATTGTCTCATCAGCTACCCTCGCGTTATCGTAATTGAAAAATAAGATATAAGTGTCGTTTTTGTAGTATTCTCATAAAAATTGTTGGAGTATTGTATTTTTACTTAACATTATGACATTCATTTTTTGTAAATACTTAATAAATGAAATCTCTTGTTTTAATCTTCCAAATTCTTTTAATCTTAGCTCGATACTTTCCCACGAGTACGGATCGTTAGTGGCATTCATTAATACCATTTCCAGCTTATCAACTGTCTCATTTCCAGATCGCACTAATATAAGTTGTTCGGATAAATACCCACGTACTCTGGATTCATATAAATTATAATTATATTGTAGTTGAGTCACATTTTTAACTTTATGAGTTTCCATATAAGCTTCCATTGAAATAACATCGGTGTGTAAATCGAATATTAATTGACCCATTGAATTAATATTATCGAATAATTGGATACATTTCTTAATAGTCTCCTCGCCAATTGTTTTAATTACTGTGTCAACAACCATGCTAGTTTTCCATACCTTTCGTAACTGACTTATCTGAACAAGACTGTACCTTATAGCATTACCTTTTCCACCATTGGAGTTCATAATAAGTGTCGGGGCTAATCTCATAATCCGTACAGCATCGATCAAAGTAGTAGCAGTCTCATTTGGTAGAATATCACCAAATATTTCAAATTTAAATTCGTTGTATTTATTTTTTTCTTCCTCAGTAAAATTGACCATGGCGTTTCCGGATATATCAAACAAACCCATTAGACTACCTGCTGCTTCCAAACTACCCTGGGTATTTTGAATATCTTTTTCATCATAATTACTATCCTCGACCGATATAAACACATTACCGCCCCATTGTATGCCCACCACTACATGGGTGGCATCGATTTGAGCGAGAACATCGAAGTCTATCAAGCTCTTAAATTCAGCATTGTTTATAATAATCTGGTCGTACATAGTAGTCATTGAATGAATTAGAGATGCCTTAGCGCTCCGGTAGCTTTGTTTTTTATCCTCATAGAATTTGACTGAACCTTTTAAAGTAATCGCGCCAGCTAGTATACTTAGCTTTAGAAGGAATCTCTCGATGCGGAAAGTTGGCCATGCTAGTTTAATTTGTATGAACATAAACTAAATCATATACTTGATAAATATGCATGGTCAAAAAGTGCGAATTTGGGAGATAAAATGGTCATTTTGCGGTCAAGGAGTTGACTGACATGATCATTTGAACTTTAATACTATATATACTGTATATATGACTGTATTATACCCATACATTTGCCGGATAAGTTTGCGACACATAAAGTGCTTACTATACGGTTGAGTGCCGTCTAAACTTTTAATACATACCGTTTATACAAATAATGTTAATTTATATAAAAATGATCATGTCAGCCAACTTCTTGACCGCAAAAATGACCATTTTATCGCCCGAATTCGCACTTTTTGACCATGCATATTTATCAATCATATGATTAAGTTTATGTACATACAAATTATACTAACATTGCCAACTTTCCGTATCGAGAAATTCCTTCTTAGTTCAGCATTAACGTCCAATGTGTGAAATTTGTCCTTGTACGTGTTTACTATTGCATACTTCATTTTACTTTCACCATTTTCTGTGGTTATTATAGACGTATTATCTGGTTGCTTATTAAATAGTGATAGACCAAGGAATTTGTCTGTCCGAGCATCATACAGTTCCCCGATTTGTGCTACCCTACCAACCGCTGATACTATAATAGGTTCTGGGATATCCTGGTTGGAATCCTAATTAAATAAATAAATGTACATATAATTAATTTTATTATACAGTTATAAAATATTCAATTTAATTTATTTTATTTTCATGTTACACTTACCACATTCTTTACAGCGCTACTTACAATATTTCCAACTGCAGTTACCAGGTTAGACTTAGTAATATCCTAGATACAATTTTTATTATTTTTAACTATTTAAAAATATATATATATATATATAATTTATATATAATATAAGGACTCTACTATGAAAGATCCTTTGTAAATATAAAATGCCTAATTATTATACTAGCAACACTTACCAATTTATTTGTGTTGCCATTTATGAAACTTAACTCATTAGAAAAGTTTTGTGAATAACAGACATTAAATAAAATTACTGCAAACAATAATTTATTCATGATTTATATGTGTTAAATTAATTATAAATTTTTATAATAATCCTGCCCCAGTATTTATAGTAAATTTTAAAATAACTTTTATACAACATGTCAATAAAATATCAATATTTCTTATAAAAGTTGTAAGTCAATTTAATACATTGTACTATAAATTGTATTTCAACACTAAATTTTATTTATAGTGGACGCATCTATAAATTATTATTGTTATCATTATCAAATATAAGCTGTATTACTGTATGTACTAGATTAAATAATGCAAAACATTCAAATAATTTGGTAGCATTCACATTTATTATAGACCTATTCATAAATAAATCTATATACTGGTATAACAAATATAATATATTGACTCATAAATTCAAAAATTAACCCAATTATCAATATTTTATTAATACTAGTAATACCAAAACCATTTACAATTTGTGATTGTATTAACTTTATTTCTTATAAGAGATAATTACTATTTTCTTAACATTTACTTAATGGCTATCATAATAAACTGTCAAAATTTATTTATTACTTAATAATAAATCAAAACGTTAGTTACATATAATTATTTTTCTTGTTACTCCATAGTTACAAACATAATTTAATTATTAAATTATATTTTTTAGCAGTATTAATATTGTGAGCCAATGTGGGAGTAGTCTCACCAGGCTCAATCTTGCAATGATGTAGCTTGTTAGTTTTGTAATTATATGGTTGATCAGGCACAATTATAGTAAATCAAATACAATTTGCATAATAGGGT